AATGCCCCTAATTTGGGCCCATACATAAATTCAGCAATCGTCTAAATTTTCAATAGCGACCAAAAATATCCATTTGTACCGTCCCAATGACACGTTTATCTAGATAAAATTGATAAAAAGCAGATTTTTAGGGATGGAACCAATCTTAAAGCCATTTCCCCTATATGTTTAAAAAATGAAATGGTTTAAACTTTCGGGAAATTTCACTCCTATATTGCTATAGAAATGTTATCTAGAACTTTCATTTCAATAGAAACCCTGAGAAAACAAAACTGTTAAAACGTTCATACCTAATTATTTAATTCTTTCAATTTAAATTAAATTTAGGTAGGTATACATAATGCAGCCGAATCCTAAGTATTTAGTTTTTAACGCTTGTTACAGCTTGTTTTGTATCGTTGTCCCACAGCTGTCTACAGCAGCAGTCGATTTTTTATTTCGTTGTGAACCACACGATAGCCTGTTTTCGAGACTCGCTATTATATAGGTGCTCTTTGTTCGTTGCTAGCAGTTCGGTGCCTTTTGTTGCTACGGTGCAAGATGTGTGAAGTAAAAAACACCATCAAGTTTAGCTTCAGCCATTGTGATGCCAAACCAAACATCGGAGAGATAGTAAATTTCGCCAAAGCACTCGACGCGGATCCGGCTGAAATGGAAGCTGTTTATCGCATTGGTGAGGAAAGGGGAGTCTTCATGAAGTTCAAATCAGAGGAAGCGATGCTCCATGCTCTGACATTCAATTCGGAGGATTTAATCTTCCATTATGCGAATGGAACGACGGCAAAGGTACGCATGTTGCATGCTGGTGAATTCATTCAATATGTGCGTGTGTATGACTTGCCACCAGAGGTACCCGACAACGAGCTGGATAAAGTGCTGGGGAAATATGGGAAAATCAAACGCATCATCCGGGAGAAATTTCCTACTGATCTGTGTTTTGAGGTATATACAGGGATACGCGGTGTATATATGGATGTGAAGAAGAAAATCCCCACGTCATTACATTTCTTCAATCGCAAAGGAAATATTTTTTATGATGGCAACAAAGATAAATGTTTCTGTGCAAGGCGGACGGACACCGAAAGCTTTCCTGTCCCAAGCGGAAGGCTCGGAAGGAACCGGAGAAGCAACTGAAGGAAAAAGGAACGCAAAGTGAAAGAAAACAAAACAACAGCAGTACGTATGCTGATGTAGTGGTGGAAGGTGCGTCGTTTGTCATTAGCGACCAGGAAACGGACACGGGGTTGGAGATGTTGAATGAAGATAACGAAATGGACGTGACTACCCCGACGACCGACGAGAGTAGCGGAGAGCATGCAACGGGAAACGATGTTCAGAAACAGCAGCAGCGATCACGATTCGGGTTCAATGAAAATGAGGAACAAATTCGGGAAAGAAAGAAGTTGCGTGCACGGGAGAAGATCGCTTTGTCGCCGCTTCGATCGCCACCCAGAAAAATCATATGATAAAATATATTTGTATATATATATATATATTTTTTTTTTGTATTTTGAGTACCATAATTGGTATTCTATGTTACTCGGCTCCGCTTAGTTATTTTTATAACATTTGAGCCTGCCAAATAAACGAAATAAAAAAAAACAAAGCTTGTTTTGCAGAATGGCTTTGCGGGGCGGGATGTACCATATAGAGATACAGGTGTTGTCAGTCAGGCTGGTTGGTTTATATAACACATATGTTATCGATAGGAAACCTTCAAAAACTAGAAGGCTGGTGATCCAGTACAGTAATAGACCTAAGTGGATGGGAAGAATAGTGGATTAAAACTTGCGCTTTTCCATGAATAGAGCATTTTACGAGACATTTCTGGTTAAATTCATGAATGAACGCATAATACTCTTGTAAATCTTTGAAGTAAACCTGCCGACCGGGAGTATGTGCCGCTACAGGAATAACCGAAGAAATTCATGCTACAGTACACAAGCCCGGTCAAACCGTGAACGAGGTAGTTTTCACAATACCGCAACCTGCCAGTTGCTGGGGGTTATTTCGAGAGTCGAAGTGACTTTTGACTTGTTAAGTGAGAAAAATCACGTCGTGGTGACGTGACTCTCTGTGCAAATCAAATGAAGAGTCATGTCGCCACGACGTGACTTTTCTCACTTCATTAGTGACTTGGACTCTGACTGACTTTGACTAGAAAGATGCCGGAGATCTACGATCATTGCGTTTTTCATTGTAGAACCCTAAACTGGCAGTGGTTTTCATTGGCCGGTACGGTAAGTATTCACGTTTTGCTTCGCAGTGGGCACTAGCTTCCACAAAGCAATTTCGTAGCACTAAATTCATTTGCTCTTAAAAGTATAGATTCTTAAATCTTCAATACTAGAGCTTCCTAAATGACCATCATTTGGCGGCTCCATCTCTATCTCCGAACGGACCGCTTTAAACTCACAAATCTATAATTCTGGTATTACGACGTTGAACAATTATCACTTGACCACAGTCTCACCGAAATGTGCTTTTGCTGCTTCGTCTGCTATGGTTGTTTGTTCGGTGATAACTCGATCACGAGAAGATTCGGGCATGCGCAAGTAGATGGTAGTAGGGTTTTCGATCTAATTTCCGTCCTACTAAGCACAACGCGCACTTTACCTCTCTTTTCTGAACGAGTTTTAACTAAAAATGGAATATTTCTGTCAAATATGACTTCTAAATTTATTCACCTTTCCATACGTACCGTTAGATTTGATAAAGAGTCACACATTGTTGAGATATTGTTTAAAATCTAATACTGCTTTTTGATTCTAAATTCGTTCTACGAGTTTCAATTCCGTCCAAACGCATTGAAACGCCATTAGATTTTCTTCGTCCTACGGATAAACGTAGAAAAAGGGGATTCGCTAGGAGCGCTTCTTTTGTTTTGAGAACAATGAGCGTAAATATTCATACAATGCGCTCTAACCGGGTTTATGCTGTAGCTAATGAACTAACGCATCGGAACAAACATATTATTTATTTGTGCACGGTGAAGTCATTGATATTATTGATCTTTTCTGATCGATAGTACGGAAATGGGCGATTACGACGAAGTAGCGCTCTACCCTAGATACCACAAATGCAAACAGATGGTGTACGGTAAATAAATATATAAAAAATAGGACAGATTCTGGAAGATAAAAAAATATAAATGTGAACTATACTGCTCTAAGAATTGAATTTATTGAAATTTTAGCCTAATCCGAACCTATCGAACCGCTCCTAAAAGTCTCTACACAGAATTCCAAGAAAGCACGTCAACTTACTTAGCTTGACAGCATCGGTTTCAACATTATTTTCAGTATAACAATCAGGTTGCTATGTGTATATAAGATATTGATCAACGTGAGTTACTCAGAGTTACTCAACATTAACTCCGGTTTTACTCATGATCGAAAGCTGTCTTGCCCCCAGATGTTTCCTCTCGCGTGGCGCACTCTACGTTGGTGGTGCATTAAAAAGGCCCATAGACACTAAGCGATCGTTTCAACCCCTGGCGGTGAATAGGGGAACCCTGAAAAGAGTGATGAGGGTGGAAATTTTCACCACCGACAAACCGACATGAAACCGGGGGGGCGACACATCTAAATCTCAAGTTTAGATACTCAACAAATCTCACACTAGCGAATCAATCTTCGAAAAATCTTCTTTCATTTGTCGCATCTACTTGCATCGCTCATCATCTTTTTGCAGGAAATCTTCAGAATCGTCATCAATCTTCTTTCTATCTACTCAGCGTGCGCGCAGCTAGCCACAGCAAAACACAATCTTTTTTGCATCGTAGATAGAGTCGTCCCCCTCGCATGAAACTTAAACTTAACTCTTGATCGAGAATCTATAACGACCGATTCAAATGTGCAGCGATCCCATCTGTCAAAACCATAGAAATGTTTTATCTAGATAAAAAATAATTTGTCCGAAATAGATAGCGTTAGCGTTTTTATGATATACTTCGTAGATTGGGCACCGACAAACCGACATGACACTTAATTCTGACTTATGCCCGAAAATCGTAAACGGCCGATTTAAATGTGCAGTGATCCAAACTGTCAAAACCATAGGACTTTTTGATCTGGTCGAAGATATTCAGTTGGGAAAAGGAGATTATCTCGCATTCCGGATTCCAAATCATTTCCTACACGCGTTCGTGATTTGAGAGTTATGGACAGTGGAAATCGGTTTCTCTTCGTCTAAGTAGACAGTCGAATCTGACCGATTCCACATGGAAGATCACACGAACATGGAGAATTTGTTGTCGACCCAAACGTGGCAACATCCGATCCATATCGTTATCTGTTTCCATTTTTATAGTCGTAGAGGTAGTCTTTTTGGAAGAATTAACATTAATCATTGAATTTACCTATGCCGGGCGATGCTCTTCGTCTGAAACTAAATACTCTTGTTTTCCCGCAAATCACCTCCTTCAACAAGCGGTACAAACAACAGCTGTGAATTGAAGGGTTCCGATCTTGCGAGTTTCTCAGTAGTAGTCAGATGCGTGTCACTCTTTCTCCTGATACGGAGAAACGAAAGGATTTCTTTTCAACTTTTCGAAAACAAAATGCGTTCATCATTAAATATGGGGGGTACCTACACTGATAAATTGAAATATTCCCATTTTGCTTGAAATTTAATCAATTTGACATTAAACTCAGTTTAATCATATCGAATGATTAAAAATTGATCCTCTCTTTCTAAAAAATAAACATCTGATATTAATCCCAGTTGAATCATGGTTGATTAGATTGTAGATTATCTTTTTTTGAATAAATTTTAATCATTTTAAATTCTATTTTAATAATGTTTGATTGAATTTTAAACTTTTTTGATTATATATCAGTATTGAAAAAGAATAAAATTTAATACTGGAAAGATTATTTCGATTTTAATCATGCATGACTACTGCCAAAGTAATCATGGCTCGAACTCAATAAGGTGAAGCGGGAATCTGCATACTTTTTAAGCATTTTTTATTTAATTTATCTTTGAGTGTATAATTGTCACCGGTTTTTGCTCTTCTCGGCTACGATAACGAAGCAACGTGGCGAGAGATTATCGTTGACGAGCTTCACCAGATTACTCCGTACGTTTATACCTTTGAGTGCGGTTTCCGTTTCGATGTAGCACATTCGATCCAGCAAGATGAGGTTTTCGCAAATGGACTACAAGAAAGTGTAATCATCGGAATGAAATATTAAGCAACATGGAGGCAATCATATTTACCTGCAAGCACGTCTGAAGGCACGTCAAATATTCAGACAGTTGACCTCCGTTGGGATACTTGCTGCTGAGTTCGTCTAATTTCATCCGATGCGCATCTGTCCAAGGCTTGCAGCACTTCGAATCAGAATGATCACAGAGCTGATACCTGTCTAACAGATTACGACTTCCGTCGCGTGATGTATGCTTATTAACTGTCACCAATTGCCCCGTTCCAACAATCGATTCTACTAGGCTACGCTCAAACATTGCTTGTCCATGTGCAACATGTTGGTCCGAAGTCATTATGTTCCAACGAGCAGAGGTCTGTTGGCAACCGAGTCTAAGAAAAGGTCGTCCTAGAAAATTCCCAACATCTTTCAAAACCTCCTTTAGCTGACTGCTGATGGGAATATTCATAAAATTTGTGCAACTTTCATCCTGAGGCACCAGTTTGTGGTAGCAGCAAGGCATGATCACCAAGCTGGTAATTGAATCGTTCGAAAGGAACATTTTGATGGCGGTGATGGAGAGATCCGCACACGCGTGCAGACCTACTATTGCGTATGACACAGGATGAGGTTCGCTAAATTCTGTAGCCATGATGTTTCGAATTTGCTCAAAAGAGTTTTCTTCTATGAAGTGTTGGATGTATTTAACGTGTTCATGTGATTCTGGAAAAAGCTTTAACTGTCTCTGCTGAGCAGCACTTACGCGGTAGGAATCACCTTCCAGTCCGAGAACTTTAAAATCATGTTTCAAATGTAGATTTTGGCTTAAATATCCCTAAAATGCAGATATAGTTATTTTTTAGAGAATGAAAAATGGGCGCAAATTCGATTGCAACACTCACCAGACCTGATCCAAAATCCAGCAGGACTTCGCTCCCAACACAAACTTCACCAATAACAGCAGTCAGATTCTCGATTTCGTACAATTTCTTAGGACTAACTCCTTTGAAAGCGCCACCTTTCCCACTGGAACAATTCTTCTGTTCATATTTCACCAAAAGACTACCGGCCATGTGAAGGAACTGCTTGAAACTCGCACTCCACTCTTCGTTTACGTAGCCCAACGGAATTTGGTTGAGTTCTTCATTGGTGGTAGATTTGAAATCTTGGATCCACGTGCGATCGAGTAGCACATCAAGAACGCCAGCTTGCACAAACTTTGTGTTGGAATGTTCGAAGATCCACCGGTGTTCGTCGAGGAAAGCCGAGCACCGTAGGAAATAACCCGTATAGTTAAAGGCACTAGAATACTCCAGTGGCATTCTTGACTAAGGGATTATTTTGAATTATTTGCGAGATTTGAAAATTATCTTCCTAACTGGAAGTTGTGCTCAAAAAATTCAATCAATGTTTGTTTATGAGGTTTATGTTTTCGTGAGAGTGCTGACATGAGACTTGGTACGGATAGTACTAAATATCAGTGATGAAGAACAATGAACACTGGTCGTAAAACTGTAACCGTTTTTCAGTAAACCCAGATATTAAATCTTGATGAACATTTCAAATGGTCCTATCTGCTTTGATCGATTCTCTTCATCGACTTTCTCTTTTCATAACCACTGCTATGCAAACAGATTTCACGTTAATTTTACCACATAGTTTAATAAAGGAGGTTTTTATCTAGCGTCTAAAATGTCAAATACAACAGGGAATGGTTTTGCAGCTGAGTTATTGACGAAAGAGAAAGTCGATGAAGAGAATCGATCAAAGCAGATAGGACCATTTGAAATGTTCATCGAGAAATGAAATGTGAAAATTTTAAGCATTTAGCAATTCACATCTCAGAGAATTAATGCCAGGGTTTACATTCATGGATGTTAATTAACTTTGAGTACATCGTGCCATAAAATATTTCCATCTGATGAGATTGCCTATGATCAGCTGTTTCGATAGCAGTTAATACAACCTATCAAGTGTTTAGAAAAACTCAAATCTCATGCGTGAGTTTATTCGCCGATGAGTTTTACCTTGCAAATTTTAACTGCGCAGATATTCATTCCTTTATATATTGGCGTTATCCATTGTTATTACAGTTATCTTTACATCATAAGATAGAAAACTAACACATGCTTAATACCCCGTTCACATTACAGCGTATATCACGTAATATAGGCTGCCTTGCAATGAGCACTCATACATCTAGTTTTCACTGGAAATCCTGTGCATGGGTGCTCATTGCAAGACAGCCTATATTACGTGATATAGGCTGTAATGTGAACGAGGTATAATACCCTTAATATAAGCTGTCTTGCAATGAGCACTCATACATCAAGTTTTCACTGGCAATCCTATGTATGAGTACTCATTGCAAGACAGTGCAACTTCCATGTAAAATTCCACATGATTTTCATGTGTCCATACATAAACAGAATCCACTCAGAAGTACACATGAAATTTATGAGTGAAATGAATAGTATGTGTGGTCAACTCATGGACCGGGGACCAACAAGTTTACTTCCTTGATCAGATTTTATGCCTCAGAAAATACTGTCGGTGCCGGCTACTGTGTTACCTGACTTATAACGAATAAACGTTCTATACGAGTACCCCGAATACAACGTATAGTTCGTCTTATTTTACATTACAAATGCTATGCAAAATTAGACGAGTCATACATTGTATTCGGGGTACTCGTATAGAACGTATATTCGTTATAAGTCAGGTAACACAGTAGGATTGAACCCAGGCCCTCTGAGGTTGATGAAATGATGAGTCAATAGGTAGGGCCGAGATTCCAACAGCCAAGTAGTTCTGCAATTTATTTTGCTGATATTCGGTAAAACAATTGCCGAGACTTAGCTAACACACAAAATTTTGCTGTGAACTCAGCAAACAAACACATATTTTGCAGAGATATCAGCATAAGTAAATGCCGAGGTAATCGGCTGTTGGAGATTTTACCGAGCTAGATTAAGTATGTATCCAGCTTTCCATGCTCGGTAATGGAGACCTGTTTGTATGAATAAATGTATCCTTCACTGTGCGTTTTGAGACACTAACTAGAGGGCGTATGTTTTTCCATTATCTTCTGTTCCTGGGAGAGGGAAAGGGAGGGGTCGAAACCCGAACATCCAGATAGTGTCAAAAGCACAGTGAAGGATACATTTATTCAAACAAACAGGCCGCCATTACCGAGCATGGAAAGCTGGATAGTTATCGAAGTTATGCTTTCATGATTCTGAGTGTTTGAAATATACCTACAAACTATTTCATCTTCAAACAGTTGCACTAAAAACATACACAAATCACTTTTTTCCAGTGTAACCTCGTTCCGGGTCTCTGAAGCCATGCCTCCAAGCGATAAGTAGCACAAGCTATTTGACATCGTTTTGTTGTTTTGTTTACCCAACAAAAGTAGCTGGTGCTTCTGTCTATCTTCATTCGTATCACCGATCGGGTTTTACAAAAATCAACTAATTTTCCGTGAAAAAAACAAGTTTTATCTTACCGCAAACGATGGACGACTGCGTCGAGATCAATTCTTCCGACGAGGAGATACAGCAAGTGGCCCGCGGTAGCCGTGAGGCAGAACGGATTGGCATATCTTCGGCGTCCTGTTCGCCGCAACCATCGTCCGATCGACCCAGCACACCGGTATCGGCGAACCTGCGATATTCTAACCAGGCCGTACACCGAATGTCCCGTCGGAACGAAAATGGTCAGCTGAAAAAGTTGGAAACCGATCCGAAATTCCTGGCCAATTTCAATCCGAACACATCCCGCCGGGAGAAGCGAAAACTGAACCGAAAATCTACGCCGCTGGTGGTGCCGAAGACGACGGGAATCTACAACGAAAAAGGTATCCACCGGGACTCCTGCCGGGATATGTGCGATTGTTTGGACATGAGCTGCCCCGGGTGCCACTTTCCGTGCCAGTGCTGTGGGAGCTCCAAGTGCGGGCCGCACTGTCGCGTCACGCGCAAGTGGATGTACGAGAGTATCGAACATGACGCCAAGGATTTGGTGATTAGAAATAAGTTGATGATAAAGAAGTAATTTAGAGTATTAGATTAATATAAGAAGATAAGAGATTATCCGACTGTGTGAATGACCACGTATTAACTGCATTAAGGAGAATAAACACAGATTAACCTCATCTATTCATTATTTTGCGTTTGATAAAAAGAAATCTGTGGTATGAAAAGTGAGCCAAAGGCCACCACCGTAACGAAACTAGTAGTAGGGGAAAGTGGGGCAGTTTTACTACCTTAAGAAAATCATCACTAATCATACACAATTCAGTGGAAAACTCGAATGATGTTTCAGCAAATGGATAGTTTTAAGTCCTATTTACGTCATGAATCAAAGGGCCTTATTACGGGTGTCACTACATTGTGATAAGGAAGTGATACTCAGAATACGAGCCGTGATGGCCGTACAAAATCAAATGGGAATCACTTCACCGCGACGACAAGCTTTTACGGTGAAGTGACATCCGTAATAAGCTCCAAATTGAATATTAAAAGTAAACTTTTGAATTTTATGAACGAAGATTTAACAAATGTTCGTTTTGTAACCGAAATTGGACCGTTGGGGTAAAATGAGCACCCTGTTTGGGTGTATGAGCGACTTTGTATAAACAACCGGTTAGAATATTCTGTTCTCTTGAGGCATTATGAAGGGTCAACAATGAACAGTTTTAGCATAAAAAGATTTAAAAAAAGCAATAATTTTCTGTTGAATAAATTACATTTTAGAAGTACTGCCTATTTAAGGCTAAATTTTTTCAGTCTTGTGAATGACTGATTTTTTTTTCCAAAGCAGCTGCTTCAAAACGTGCTTTCATATGATTTAGTAATATTTATGAAAGGAATAATGTAAAATTGAAGAATTTAAGATTAAATATGCTCATATTACCCTGAATGGACGTAAGTAATATTTTGTTAAAAAAAATTCATGAGAAAATCATTACTGTTTATTAAAAACTAAAAACTAGAAATACAGATGTTTAACAGATGTTTATTGATTTAATAACCTTATTTTAGTAAATTGCACGATTTTCAACCTAGAGGTCGAATTTTAGTAAAATTAGTGGAATATGAATGACCTCCCTTAGCTCAGTCGGTAAAGGCGCAGCTACAAAACAAGACCATGCTGGAGGTGGCTGCGTTCGATTCCCGGTCCGGTCTAGGAATTTTTCGGGTTGGAAAATTTCTCGACTTCCCTGGGCATAAAAGTATGATTGGACTTGCCGCACAATTAATTATATGATTTGAGTAGTAGCTATACTGAAGATCCGAGAGATGTCGCCCCTTCAGTGGTAGGAAAATCATTTTTGCAGTATGGAGAATATCAGAAAATCCACGATTGGTGACTAAACATGCTTTCACAGAAGGAAACAAATAAACGAGTGTTTATCTTATCACCATAGTAATGTACTCGTTCAATTGTTGTGCATCTAAAACTGCCCATAAAGACGATAATGAATAAAAACTGAAAATTTTCATGCATTTCCAAATGGTTTCCTACCATTCCCATACATTCGAAAGTGAATGGCCCTCTGGATGTGGATGATGTCAAAAACAACAAAACATGATTAATTATACCAATGCAAAAATGGTACAGGCATCGAAAGCTCTCAATTAATAACTGTGGAAGTACATCTAGAACACTAAGTTGAGAGCACGCAATAAGCTAATATGCCATACGCGAGGAAGAAGAAGAAGATGACTAAAAATCTCGCTAAAAATGAGCAAAATTTAATTCAGCAAGTTCATTATATTTCAAGATATTAAGGTTTTACAAGGAGCAGGCGTTTTCCTCAAATAGCTCTTACTTTTAATAAAAGCAACCAAATAAGCCCAACAAGCCACTTTTTATTGTTGTGTCATAGGATGTATTCTGATGTTTTATGCGTGCAACAAATTACATCGTGATGAAGTTTGATTCTAATGTAACGTTTGGTTCTGTTGTCATTGGATGTATTTCGATGTCAAATTTTACATCGTCAAGACGTTTGATTCTGATGTAACGTTTGAGGCTAATGTATTTTTATGTACTTGGACGTCACACTGAAGTCTGAATACATTAAGGGTACAGCAATACACGTTAAAATTTAATGTATTGAAGATGTCTGCTGATGTTTCCTACATTACAATTTCTATTCGGGAACACTGTACCAATAATTCATAAATGTATGATGAATAAGGAGCCAGAAATTAATCATGTTTTGTTGTTTTTGACATCATCCACATCCAGAGGGCCATTCACTTTCGAATGTATGGGAATGGTAGGAAACCATTTGGAAATGCATGAAAATTTTCAGTTTTTATTCATTATCGTCTTTATGGGCAGTTTTAGATGCACAAAAATTGAACGAGTACATTACTATGGTGATAAGATAAACACTCGTTTATTTGTTTCCTTCTGTGAAAGCATGTTTAGTCACCAATCGTGGATTTTCTGATATTCTCCATACTGCAAAAATGATTTTCCTACCACTGAAGGGGCGACATCTCTCGGATCTTCAGTATAGCTACTACTCAAATCATATAATTAATTCAGAAACGTATCTCTTTAGCTGTTTTTTTTTTCTCAAATTTAAGGACATCTGTACGATAGAGGTAACTCTAAGACCAGAAGGTCCCAAAAAAACGTGCTCAACTTTTTGGCTCAGCTCTGGTACTCTCGTTGGTTCCAAGCTAATCGATGGACCCCTCGAAAGATAGGAAAATCCACGAACCCCTCATTTTATCTGTCAAACTTTCCGAAGTTTCTGCTGTACAAGCATACACTCAAAAAATTCCACACGTCATCATCATGTGTCTCACACTTAATTTTGCGCATATTGTGTAACACATCCATTTCATGTGTGAATCTTATGCTATGAACCATGCCTGAACACTATGGATTTGAATTGTGACACACTTGGATTCTATGTGTCTCATATGGTGATATCAATAGCTTTGCACACCATAGTTCAATATTCTACTTTATCGAATTCTACTTTACCGACTCTAAAAATGAATCGACAAATATATAAACAAAACTGCCAGAGGCCAGAGCTTTCACATATATTTTTAATGGGTCTGATTTGGAATTCGATCATGGACTGTTGGAGTATGCTGCTGCCGAAGTCTTCGTTCGATCTCACTGTGCCACGGTTGTTCTCATACACGGTGAGAAAAAAGTACCCAACGGCCAGTTCACTTTTACGTACTTTTGACTAGTTTGTCTCCTTTTCTCCTTCTAATGTTGTCAAAAACGGAGGAGCAAAACCACCCAACAGGGGTTCTAAAGTGTGGGAACTCAACGTTGAGTATAATCATATTTACCTACTGTTGGGTACAACTAACTTACTTTTGGTTAAAAAGCCAGTGGAAAATTCCATACGAACTGCACACAAGTAAATGAAAATTACTTAGACCCGCTTTACCTACTTTTGGGTTCCTGCACTATAGTGCCGAGATGAGTGAAAAGAACTTAATTTTGGGTACTTTTTTCTAACCGTGTATATGAGGCAGGTTGATAGGATAAAGTCACAACTCTTGTTATCGATGTTTACCTTTCTGAGCAAGCAATTGGGTTCTTTAAGGGTATTGAGGTAAATGCATATTCGTAATCTGCATTAAAAATGGAACCCAAACCCAAATTTTCATCAATTTTGGTACACTGGAACTATTTTAAATAAGAACGATTACATTTGCAAAAATCGCCTTATTAGCGCCCCTCGGTGTCACTTTGTATGGGAGCGAGCTGTCAGTTTGTCAGTTTAGTGTCAAACAGTGAAGTTATTATTTTGCTTTAAATCTTGATTTAAAAATCGAGATGAAAGCGTGTGAGCTCGAAAAAAATATCGCTATGCTCAGAAAACGAACCTCTTTCAGATAATATATAAAAACCCAATTCACATCGTATTGAAATGATGTGCATCTTTGACTTTTCCAGGTGAACTTTTCAAGATATATTCATTTCATTTCACGGCTCCATCAATACTGCATCGTAAATATGATGGTAAACAGAAGTAAATTGCTCAATTACTCAAAATAAAGATGATTTGTCATCTTGTTATCACTTTGAAGACCATCTAGCACCATTTTATAGCATGGTGCGTGTTGAGTAAATCAAGTTCCGGTGCATTTTCCATCGAAAATTGTGAGTATCAATATGTTTGCTTAAAAAAGGCCAAAATGAACATTTATTTAATATTGGCGTTCTATACAACCAATTCTTCATTACCACCAGAATGATACAACCTTTCCTAAGTAAATTCACTTAATTTCCACTTTCATCTTAGTGAAAATCGCACATATTTACCATTTTCTGAAAAATGCAGCTGGCAGGAGGTAACCTCTCCCTGTGGGTGCAAACTTGTTATGCATAATTTGCCATGAAAACATCTCCGATCCATACCGAAATAATAACAAATAGTTTTCAAATACGTTTTCTTAAACGATTCAAGCAAAAGTTTCCACGGGAAATTATTATTTTTTCTTTATGGACCGATTTTCCCTAAAAAGCGTCTGCTTTACTTGGAAACTTTGGAAACTATCCTCCTTCTAGTAGTTCTCGCTTCGAAATGTAGGTGGCGAAAGCTTGGAAAAGTTTCACTGCAAGACGCCAATAGCTCCGAGATTAGCTCTTGTTGATCTTCAAGGTGGATCGATGTAATAAATCTTCAACTAATTAGTCTTTTAGCTTTATTTATGGAACGTTATTACAGATCACACTATTCGTTGGGCTCTTCTTCACTCGACTGACGCAGTAACTATTTAGCTGTACACTGGTGTCCCTACGATAATGCATGTATGTGTGTGTTAAAAGAAGCAAGGGAATAAATGAGAGAATGGATTACACACTGGACAAATAATGCATATTTATTACACGCATTCTTTTTTTTATTATTATTATTATTATTATTAGGGGACGGGGACGGTAGGGAGAAAAATGCAATTTAGTATTGCCATTGGCCATAACGATTCGGGGGAACAACTACTCTTCCACTGCGGGTAACTTGAGGGGGATCAGAGAGTGGGTTTGATGATTGACTAGAGAATGAGCGGAATGAATCAGTATCAGATTCAGAGGCACTGAACTCTAGAAAGTCTGGTTCGTTTGTATCACT